CCAGAGAGGACGATTGCAGTTATCCAGGGCTGCCGTCACAAGTCCCAAGCGTCGGTCGATGGCTTTCGCCAGCAACTCTCTTCTCTCACAATCTGGGAGGCTGGACAACCAAATTCAGAGATGGTTCTAAGGGGAAGATCCTCGTCTCCTCTGAACAGCTGTGGGCCCAGTGCCTTCGGGAGATTCACATGTGTCTTAACAGCAGTCTTTTCCTGGGGTTTAGGACAGCGGTTCTCAACCTGTGGGTCGCGACCCCTTTGGGGGGTGTATGTTGAACAACCCTTTCATAAGGGCCGCCCGATGCATAACAGTAGCAAAATGACAGTGATGAAGTCGCAATGACAATACTTGTACGTTTGGGGGGTCACCACCACATGAGGTAAGAAAGGGTTGCAACATTAAGAAGGTTGAGAACCACTGATCTAGGAGGATCCAAGGACTGTGCTCAACAGCTAGCTCTTCATTCTTGGTAAATAGTTTCCTTGCTCTCTCTCTGTCTCTCTCTCTGTCTCTCTCTCTATCCTTTCTGAAGTAAAGGGAGATGCTGGACACACCCAGGAAAATGCCCTTCTCTCAGTTGAAGCCTGTGACCTAAGAAAGGCTGTTTTGGAGGATCCTGCCTCATTAGCATAACACATGTAACCAAATCTGTCCGTTTGTCTGCTGCCGATGCTGAAAGCTGACATCACTGGAAACACTTCCATGCTCAGAAATTTGGAAGAGAGCTCCTTGACCAACCTCGTGGAAGAGATCCATCTTTTTACACATTCCAAAGAAAAGTGACCCAACATTATTGTCAGATTATAGCACAATATCATAAACTCCACATGCAAGTAAAATGTTGCGGAAGATCATGCAACAAGGGTTGCAGCAACACCTTGACAGGGAGCTGCTAGAGTCTCAGGCCAGATTCAGAAGAGGACATGGAGCAAGGGAAGTCATTGCTGATGGCAGATGGATCTTGGCGAAAGCAGAGAATACCAGACACATGTTTCCTCATGTTTTATTGGCTATGCAAAGGCATTTGGCTGTTTGGATCATACACTATGATAGCCTTGGGAATAATGGGAATTCTAGAACAATGCCTTCTTCACATGGGAACCTGGTCATGGATCAAGAGGGCGTTGTGCAAACAGAACAAGGAAATACTGCATAGTTTGTGAACCAGGGTTGTATCATCCTGTTAATCTGTTTGCTGAAAAAATCATCAGAAAAGCTGGATTATAATGAAGACGAATGCAGTGTCAGGATTGGAGGAAGGCTTACTAGCAACCTTCCATATGCAGAGGACACAGCCTTGCTTGCTGAAAGCGAGGAGGGCTTAAGTACTTGCTGATGAAGATGAAGGAGTGCAGCCTTCAGTCTGGATGCCATCTCAATGGCATGAAGACCCAAATCCTGACAGCCGGACCATTAGGTAACATCATGATAAAGAGAGAGAAAATGGAAGTTGTCAATGATTTTTGTCCTGCTGGATCCACAATCAATGCTTATGAAAGTTGCAGTCAGGAGATCACATGATGCATTGCATTGGGTAAATCTGTTGCAGGAGACCTTTTAAAAATGTTGAAAAGCAAGGATGTTGCTTTGAGGAGTAAGGTTTGCCGTGATATTTTCATTCGCCTCGTGTGCATATCAAAGTTGGACATTGAATAAGGAAGAGAGAAGCATCAGTACATTTGAACTATGGTGTTTGCGAGTACTATTGAACCGCAGTAATACTGATCTGCGGTTGCAAATGAGAAAGGAAGGAAATTGTCATTGATCCCCACTTCGTGCTACTGTGAGTGACAGTGACTGCCAGGCTTCTGCAAACTGAGTGTTGCCATGACCAAATGCTACAATGTAATTGCAGGCAGCAAGAATAAGTTAATAAATATTATCCAAATTGGAAAAAATCAAGAAGTAGCTATATAAGCACATGATTTAGCAACGTGGAGGTAAATATCAGAAGGAAATGCTAGAGAGAGTTGGAATTAGAGTGGGAATTGGGTTTGGGTGTGAGTGGGGCAGGGAGCCTCTCCTTTGTATTATAAACTCTGTCATCCTGTCTGACTTCCTATACTTTGATAAATATGAAAAGGAATTTAAGAAATAGACCTGGACTGTGACCCTGAGGGGATCTGACAAGTTGGTGCTTTTTTTGTTTCTTTGTTTCCATTTTGTTGAATTTTTAATCTATAAACCTACCTTTAGAGAACTCCTACATTATATAGACACTCTCTTCTTGTCCTCTCATGAGTTATATGTATGTATATATATACCTTAAGATAAATTATAGAGCCAGATGTACGTATAATGTGTTTTTTAAAACAATGTATTTTCCCCTTATACGGGTGCTTAAGGAGCCCGGTGGAACAGTGGTTAAGTCCTCAGCTACCATCTTAGGTATCTGGTACTGCTCTAACAGAATTACCGCAAGTGAATGGATAGTTTCAAATTTTTTTTCTCACACCATTTAGAAGCTAGAAGTCCCAGTTCAGAATGCCAGCTCTAGGGCAAGTCTTCTCTTGCTGTTGGCTCTGGGGAAAAGATCCTGATTCGTTTCAACATCTGTGGGCCTGGTCTCCCTTGGCGATCTCCATGTGTCTTGGCATCAGGCTTCCCCTGGGTCTAGGAGATTCTTAGCACAGGGACCCAGGTCGAAAGGATGTACTCCATTCCTGACTCTTCTTTCTTAGTAGTAGTCAGGTCCCTCCCTGTTTTCTCATCTCTTATGTTTTGTAAGATAAAAGATGATACAGATCACACCACAAGGAAGCTCCCCTTACATTGGATCAGAGCTGTAATCTGAGAGAGTTGCATTATATCCTAATCCCCGTACAGCTGTGTGGCCGATTGCAAAGCATCATGTCACAGGGGATGAATGCATTATTACCTGCAACCCACCACTATACCTGCCAAATACATCATCACATAGCTTCCAAACCAATGAGCATCGTGGCTCAGCCAAGTTGGCACATATTTGTGTGTTGGGGAGGCAAGGGGGCACAATTCAGTCCGTGACATCTACTAACCAAAAGGTGGGTGGTTTGGACCCACCAGCAGTTCCATAGGAGGAAGAGACCTGGCAGTCTATCCCGTAAAGATGTAGAGCCAAGGAAACCCGCTGGAGGCAGTTCTACTCTGTCTGATATGGGCACTTGGAGTTGGACTTGACAGCATGCAACGTTATCAACAACAACCTACTTTTGTTCAAACTCTGATTCATCTAAGTTATTTAAACTTAGGAGAATGGGTGAACAACCCTACCTCTCTCTTGCCTTCTCCTCAAAGTAGAGCAGAGTTCAACTTCACCCAAGAGATCCGCATTCTTCAGGGGCTTGATGTTCCTAAACTGGAGTGCTGGTCAGGTGCTCATTGAGATCTCAGGGTAGATCGTGCACATCACTCCGCAGAGGCTGGAGTGCTGTGTGGAAAACATGTGTCACGTTATATAGGTTGAAACTGCCCCAGCCTCCCTTTTTGATTTCGAAAAGTCGGAACCCACAGAAAAACGAAAAGAATGGGAAGATGTCCATACACCTTTCACCTGGACTCAGTTGTTAGTATTTTGTCACCTTTATTCTCCTCCTTTCTCTCCACGCGTGAATATGCTTTTCATAGAGAGGGTGCCAGACCGTTTTGAAGAAATCAGTTGCAGATAGCATGGCCTTTCATACTCCCACGTGCATCATCTCCCAAGAACAAAGGATTCTCCTACGCAACCCAAATGCCATTATCTACTACGGATACACCAGTATTGCATAATGTCTAGTTCATATTTCCCGAACACTTCAATAAACCTTCTATAATTTTCAATATATATATATATATTGAAATATATAATTTTCAATATATATATACTGTACACAATATATATAATTTTCAACATATATATATATATATACACACACACACATATATATATTTATTCACAGCCCAGTCAAGGATCACATGTTGCCTTTTTCGATCATCATGTCTCTCTTAAGTCCCCTTTATGCTAGAAGTCTAGCTGTCCTTTGTTTTAAGCACATAATTCGTGACATTGGCAGCCGGTGTGAAGAACGGAGACCACTCCTGCCGAATTCTCTGCCGCGCGTGTTTCGTCCTTCGGCACTCTCAGGGTAAATGTGTCCTTGTGGCAAGACTATAGGTGCAGGCTGTCTAATCTGTCAGGTTTCAGATGTTGCCTGTTCTGGTTAAGTGCCGTTGAGTAGGTTCCAATCCACGGTGACCCTACGCTCAACAGAAGGAAACGATACCAGCCCTGCATCCGGCTCACACTTGTTGTTACATTTAGGTTTTTGTGGCGATTTGCATGCTTGTTGTTGTTGTTTCTCTCTGCTAACTTAGGGTCTAGCACCGAGTATTACCAGAATGACCTTATTTGCATGAAGCACAGGAAAACTCCTTCTCAAAAAAAAAGTTCCACTGTAGAACAGGCCCGTGGGTGCCCGACACTGGAACTGGTTATGGGAGTAGGAAAGATAGATTTGATGTATTTGAACTGCTGACCTTGCGGTTAGCAGCCGGAACACGTAACCCGCTAGGCCACTGTGGGTGCTGTAACACTCGGTAGACCATAGAAAGTATCATCAATCTGGGAGGGGTGATGTGTTCCTCTGGAAACAAGCATAATATATATATTTTAAATATTCTTGGCAGTGGTCTCTGGATGATTTAATACGTTGTAATCAACAGCACATCTCCCGCTCTTTAATTAAGCCCTGCTACAGCCCTGGGCTTCACTTCTGGGAAACCCTGGCCGGCTTGTTCTATCAGGCAGCTGCTGAAGGGCTGCATCGGAGCCGAAACCCCGCACCTGTGCTGGGCTTGCCGCGTTGTGGCTGCCCCAATGTGTGCTTTGTGCGGAGTGAGCGCAGCGCGAGCGAAGGCATGCCTCAGATGCCAGCCGAGCTGTGCAAGCTTGCTGTTGACAAGCAGGCTTCCCGCCTGCCGGTCTGCAGGAGGGGAGACCTGGTGACACAGTAGCCTTTGCTCAGAGCTTCTGGGGATGCGCAGGGAGTGCTCCCTGGGGTTGTGTCGGGCCGGAAACCCGAGCCCTTCCTGAGGACAGCTGCGTTTCAGAGCCTGGGCAAGTTGCTGGGGAGTTGTGCCCGGGCTGCCAGGGTGAGAGTTTTCGCTTGGATTCGCCACTAGCCTCGCTTTTCTCCCTTCCAAGTCAGCCAGGGGCTTGCGGGCAGGGTCAGAAGACTGGCGGCCCACCTGGTTGGAGCGGGCGTCCAGGGTTCAACCTGGCAGGACCCTGGCCCGTCAGCGTGCCCTTGCCTTTCTCTCTGCAGGTCTTGAGGAAGTCTAAGACCAGGTCCAGTATGAGATGTCGTCTCTCGGCGCCTCCTTTGTGCAAATCAAATTCGACGACTTGCAGTTTTTCGAAAACTGCGGCGGAGGAAGCTTCGGGAGTGTCTACCGAGCCAAATGGATATCCCAGGACAAGGAGGTGGCTGTAAAGAAGCTACTGAAAATCGAGAAAGAGGTAAGGACGCTCTTTGCCTGCCCGCCCAAGTGGGCTTGCAAGCACTTACATAAGCGTTTCCAACCTAGAGTCAGGGTCACAGGGCTGCAGGGGACGCAGCCGAGCTTCTGGGCCCGATCCAGGAGGCCCTTTCCCAACTTCCATTCTGGGCGCCCCATAAATAGAAATTATTGCAGCGTGTGCGTTAGGGGTGAGTTCTCCGCGGGGTCATCTGAACCGGAGAGGATTTCTTTCCATGGTACAAAAGACCGAATGTTCTCTGAACTCGCCCGGAGGCCGCGGGAGATGGCAGGCCTGCCCAGGCTGCAGGCCCATCGTTCCAGGGTCAGCCAAGAGGGGTCAGTCCAGAGCAGCTCACACAGCGCTCAGCCCCTGCCCTGGAACTGGTGGGCTCCCGGGTTGTCTTGGGAAAAAGACAGGCAGCGCCATTCCTTCTGTTCTCGCTTGGTGGTGTTTTTAGTGCAAAGACAAGACCCGTTTCTGGATTCTACCTCGGTCCAAGGCCAGCCACGATGAGCTCGGGGCTGGGCAGAGCGCTGACCTACTCACCTTGACGTTCAGAGCCTGGCACTGTGCCAGGTCCAGAGCAGTTTAAGACGCTGAGACCCTTCACCCGTTCTCGGCCACGTGCCACAGCACGTTCCTTTCTGTCCTGTGAGTGGCAGCGCTGGCCTGCAGGGGTTCCGAGCCAGGCATTTGATAACTTTCAATAGCCAGCCTCCGGAGCTTGTTGTGGTCATTTCTCTTTATGTCTGCTTTGGGCTAATTCTGGTTCCCTTCAGTATCTTTTTGTAAGTGGACTTCTCTATACCTCTCCTTCAGTCCCCGGAACCATTTCATGTTGTCATTCACTGGGGCCCGTGAAGCGAGCAGTTGATCAGGGAAGCAAGCCCGGAGTGGTGGCACTTTGTGCAGTTTCTTCCCCCGCGGTCACCAACCACCTGGGTGAAGGCCCGTCAGGGACGAAGCCACCTCTCCCTTGGGGCTGCTGGAGGTTCAGAAAAGCATTCAGTGAGAACTTTGAGAGCCCATGTGTGCACAAAACAGGGGAGCACTGTGTAGAAAAGTGGGGGTTCCCTCTCATTTCTTAATTTACAAAAAAATGAACATCTGAAATCGCTCTGTAATAAAATCATCCCTCATTCTGAAGGGGCCCTGGCATCTTTGACCTAATGAACTCAAGTCTTTTTGTCGACAAGCCCCATCACCCCCATTTTATAGACCGGGAAATCGGTCTCTCAGAAACTGGTTTCCCCTGGAAGGGCAGGTGAAGCTCGGGGGCCCAGACAACTCTGCTGTCCGTGGGTTTTGAATTCTGAAACCTCCGGGTGCCAATAGAAGATGATTACCAATTACATCATTTCTCCACAAAGCCGCGTCTAGGTAGGCCAGGAGTTGAAGGCATTTGGCCCTGCAACTCCAGTGCCTGGAAAATTCTTACCTGATTGCTGGAGGTGGATAGGCTTGATGAGGCCCAAGTCAGACGGGGATAGGGAAGGTACAGACTGGCCTGTGGGTCCCACCCCACCTGCGTCTAGTCCCTTTGCATTATCGGAGAGAAGGAGCCCCCGGGGCCCAGTGGTTACGTACTCAGCTGCTAACTGAAAGGTGGGTGGTTTGAACCTACTACCCAGGTGCTCCCCAGGAGAAGACACCTCGCGGTCTGACCGCCTTTGTCAAGATTACAGCCAAGAAAATCCGCGAGGGCAGTTCTGCTCTCTTACCACATGGGCTTGCTGTAAGGCACAAATCAATTCGGTGCCACCCAACACCAAGGATGACAATCCTTTCTAGAGAACTATGCAAATGACAGAGGCAAGCACAGGGACAGAGGCAGGGGTCAGGCCTGCCAAGGCCCCGCTTTTGTGTAGGTATTGAACCCGAGGCTGGCTAGGTTGAGCCTTTGGCATTGACTACAGTAAACCCCAGGCGCATAACTCATAACTTGTAAGTGGGAGAACCGGGAACTCCTTGTCAGCTTTGAGACAGTGACCCCATGTGAGCTGTGACCTTGTGGAAGCAGACTGCCAGGCCCTTTTGTTCTGAGGCACCTCTGGGTAGGTTTGAACTGCCAACCTTTCAGGTCGCAGTCACACATTTGATCAGTTGTGCCACCCAGGCACCTACAGAGAGGTGAGGGGAACAGGACTCTGTGAAGAAGCGCTCTGCATGTGCTGGATCCACACAAGGTTCAGATGTCAAAAGATTTGGTTTGTGGCTAGCAGTTTTTGGAGAGGAAATAATGTGTTTCTTATGCCGCTTATACTCTGCGAAGGTATTGACTTGCTGGTTCCGTGTTTTCTAAGTGATGACATGAAGTGCCATTTGTCAAATTTTAAAATTACATCTTAGTTTAGGAATGAACATATTTGAAAGTGTAGGTTCAAATTTCAGCTGGTGGTATGGCATCAAAAATAAGCTTTTAAAAACTTAATAAAGAAAAGGAGAAGGATGATTTTCTCTGGATTTTTTTCCTTCCTTTTTGATAGATGGATTCAATCCCATGTGACTTGGTTGTTTTTACCAGTGAGTTATAGGAGCAAAGAGACATTTAATAAAATACTTGTATTTTACTATATTTTTACTCCAGTAAATATATGCCTTACACTTTTGTCTTTCCCTGTGTGTTAGTTTCCTGTGCACACCATGTGGGTTTTATGGGCATGTGTGTTGCTTATGCTGACATGCTTTATGTGGAAAAAGATAATACTTATGACTCTTTAAGAATGACTTGGTATATATATGCCACACATACACATCTGTGTGAGATATATATATCTATATATATGAACTAAGGGAAAGGTAGAAAAATATGTAGCAAAGTATAACATTGCTTATATGAAGGGGTAGAGGAAGACTTTTTAAAAAATTTTGGTTATGTTTTACTTCAGTTTATTTGTAGCCTCTACTTTAGTGAGTATGTATTTTTCCTATATTTAGTGAGTATATGTCCTAGTCTAATGAAAAAATGACATAAACTTACTCTTTAGACTTACTCTTTAGAATTTACCTTTTTTTGTTAGGTGCCTGAGTTAATTTTCAATTCACAGCAACCCCATCTGACAAGGCTAGAGTTACTCCATAAAAATGTCCAGGTTTTCATCATTACAGACCCTCTCACGGAGCTGCTGGGAGGATTCGAACCACTGCCCTTTCAGTTGGAAGACAGGTGCTTAACCATGTGCCACCATCGGTATTTCGGACTTTCATTTTAAAAAGCAGTTAAACCTAGAGGAAAATGTCAAGACTAGTGCTATAGACTCTAGCAGTTCCTTCCAGTAACTCTTTCTTAACATTTTAAAACATTTCCTTTCTCTATTATATCATTTAATTATATATTCATACATATTTTTAGAATTTTTTTTTTTGCTGATCCATGAGAATACTGATATAACTCTTTATTTCTAAGTACTCTAGCATGTTCCTCCCAGGGCATAACCACAGTACATCTATCAAATTTGGAAAATTTCATATTGAGCTAATATTATTATCTACTACTCGATAATCAGATTTTGCCAGTTGTCTCAGAGTGTCTCTTTCCAGGAGTTTTTCCCCCAACCTAAGGCCCCGTCTAGGATGACGTGTTTCTTGTCTGGAGTAGTTTCTTTTTTCTTTTTTTATTCATTCATGCAATTCAGCGGTTCTCAACCTGTGGGTTGTGACCGCTTTGGGGGTCGAACGACCCTTTCACAGGGGTCGCCCATTTCATAACAGCAGCAAAATGACAGTGATGACGTAGCAACAAAAATAATTTTATGGTTTGGGGGTCACCACCACATGACGAGCTGTATGAAAGGGTCGTGGCATGAGGAGGAGAACCACTGATGTAATTGTTTTTGTTAATTGTGGCAAAAATATGCACAACAAAACATACTCCAGTTCAACATCTACATGTATAATTCATTGCCATTCATCATACTCTTCATGTTGCACAACCATTATTGATACCCTTTCCCAAAGGATCCCACCACCATTAACATAAACTCCGTGCCCCCTAAGCAACAGCTCTCTGCCTTCACCCGCGTGGAGCAATTTCTTTACTGTCCCTAGCCTCTGACCGTGACTCTGCTGTTTGTTTGAGGAGTGCATGCAGGACAGTTATTTGTAGACAGTCCCTCATTGGAGGTTTGTTTGATTTTCACACACACGCACCCCACCCTGACCCATATCTGGTTCATGGAATGCAGTTTGGGTAGGAATATTAGATGGATAGTCCTGTGTCCTGTGTGGTGTCATGGGAGTCGTATGATGTCTGTTTGTACCATTACTGGTGAGACACATTTTGAACTTGTGCTTAAGGCTTAAGGGGCAGGGAGACGCGTCCAATTTCTCCACAGTAAAAACACCTGTTTTCCCTTTGTAATGAATAATTCAGCTGTTTGCAGATAGAAACATTGAGACAATGCAAATGTCTTCCCCGGCTAACTTTTACCTTTTTTTTTTAGCATCCATTGATGATCCTTATTTGAATCAAGTATTGTGACAGTTTGCTGTGAAAAAAGCAAAGAATTCTAACATAAATGAGTTTTCCTTTCTTTCCCTTTGCCCCTTCCATCCACCTGCCTTTTTATTTCATTGTAGGCTTATGGATTCTTTTTAAAATTCCAGGCACTATCATTATTTACTTTTTATTCATTTTTATGCTTAAATTGTTTTTGATTTAGCAAATAAGAGCCTTTCTGGGGCTCCTGTGCCCTTTTAATATGCCCCCATCATTTTTTTAAGCATTTCCTTACTTTCTGGCAGAACATTTTTTTTCTAAATTCAGTTATTGCCTGCTTCATTCCTAGAACCATTGTTTCTTTGAGAAGTCTTCATTCGAGTTACCTGTAACTGGGGTACATGATATTTTACAACCAAGATGAGTACTTAATACAGAATTAATGGTTATGTAAGTATATCTATTTTATTTATACAGGCAGTTAATTTAAAATATCTCTGAATATCTAGGATCTATGATATGCTCCCATATCAAAACCTTAAAATATTTACTTTTATTG